AAGGAACAAAGGGCTCCAAGCCACTTTGATGCATCGTGTTGGAGGTCAGCGCTGCCAAACCACGACAGTAAGCATGTCATCTTGAAGGGTTTTTCAAAGCGAATAATATTTTCCAAAAGTGTTTCGGTGTTCTGGGGATTTTTTCTTGGAAAAATGAAGTGATCATAAAAATCTCGTACACTCACATTCGGCCGTCGGCATCCTCGATCAACACCGTACCATCGTCGTCAGAGTCCTCTTCGGGAGCCACATAAACAACTTCCATATGCAGATCACCTTGCTGAAAAACGTCGTCAGAAGGCTGAACGATCTGTGAACCCATTAACCAACTCAAGAAATAACTGCTCCAACTAGCTATTCTGAGTGGTTCCGCATTTGAAGAGACTACTTAGGCACTAGGGCTGGCCTACCGTAGAATTTTTGAGTTATGAATGAAATTACCTGAGAGCTAAGAATTTCAACTGCTTCTTGATGTTTGGCATTTCGAAGATCGTACCCGTTTACTGACAGAATTGCATCGCCAACAAAGATCTGACCGCATCGATGAGCAGGTTGGCCGGGTTGAATCTCGGATATCACTATTGGTAGTGCATGTTCCGAACCACCCTATAAATTAAGAGAATTTTATTTATTTCTAGAAAAAAGGAGGACACCGTTCTGGGATGTTTCAGTATACACTTGAACTTTCGTTCACGACTTCTTTTCCTATATGCCCCACAAACTCCACGATGTTTGCTGGTGAGTAATATGCCCCAGCACAAGGGCGATTACCAGAAAATATACAAATAATGCTGGAAATGTAGTTCGGGGAGTCATAATATCTAATCAAAGTGGCAATATCTAATCGAAGGGGGCAGCGGAAGGAAGGTCGTGTCCGAATCAAGATTCAGAGCACAGGCTCTGAGTGCACGATTAGATGTGGGTACCAATCCGGGGATTCCGGACAATATTCGATAACCTGAAAAGGCCCATTTCGCCAGGGCTTGCAATGGCAAACGCAAATGGTTGGTGAAAGTGAAGAAGTCAGCACAGGTGACAGCCGCTTTTTGCCATTAGGATACAGGTAACAATGTACCCATCTTTCTTGACTGTTTCCACTTCTATACTTTTTAAACGAGTTTTTTTGTGGACGATGGGGTAGCAGGGCTTTTTTATGAGCAGTTTTGGTGGAGAATTAAACAACTTTTTCATAGTTCGGCTTTTAAAGAGGGTTGTTTCATGGACTTCGGCCTTCGGCAGAGGGGGGGGGGGGGGGGGGTCGTATTTCCGAATTTTCCTCGACGCCTCGCTTGACCCTGGTTAAGAAGCGATAATAGCTCAGTGGTGATGGTCCGGGGTGGCAGGTAAAAGTTCG